ATTTTATGGACTTTGGTATGCATAGAATTTGGAATCTTCCAAAATACATTTTTTTAACATTTTCGTATTTCAAAAGGAAGCCACAAACAACCCTGCTCCCCAGCCCTAAGCAACCACTCCTCCTTTTTCAGTCTCTGTAGATTTCCATATTCCATCCATGTAATGGAATCATACACAATGTGGTCTTTTATATCTGTCTTCTTGCACTAGAGTGTTTCCAGGGCCCATTTTCATTAGCCCATAGCTGGAGTTTAAATGTTTTCATTGCCAAATTATAGCCCATCGTGTGACTACACTATCATCTGCTGCATGTATCCATCAATTGGCATTTGGTTATTTCTACTGACTATTACAAGTAATTCTGTTATGAGTGTGTACAAGTTTTTATGGGATGTATGTTTTCATTTCATATTCTAGGAGTGAAATGGTTGGGTCATGTGGGAACTGTGTTTTGACTTTTCAGGGACTGCCAGACTGCTTTCAAAGTGGGCGACGTGTGTATTTCTACCAGCAGTGTATGAGGGTTTCATTTCTCTGCACACACTGGTCAACACTGAGCATCATATGTCGTTTATAACAGTGGTCCTGCTGCTTCTAATGGGTATCTGACTGTACTTTGGGATTGTAGTTTCCTAATGTATGTGCAACATCTTTATGTGTTTTGGCCATTTGTACATGTTTTTATTCTTTGCCCATTTTAAGTTGTTTGTCTTGTATTATGGGCTGGTAGGAGTTCTTTGTATATAAATTTTTGATAAAAGTCTCTTCAGAGATATGATTTTCAGAATCAATCTTTTGGATTGCCCAATTTTTTTTTAAAGATTGATTTATTTGTACATACAGACCTGGGGTACAGGCCAGAGGCTCAGGGGCGGTGAGAGACTTCACCAGAGACAGAGTGGGGAGCAGAATAGGCAGATCTACAAAGTACACTGCTGAGGGGAGCAGTGGGCAGGCCAGGAGAGGTCTGCCACGCCATGTGGTCACCTCCAGGGCAGGCGGGAATTGAACTCATGCGGAAGTGGCTTTAGCTTCTCAGTGCAGTGCTTTAACCCACTGTGCTACCAGGGAGGGCCCAGGATTGCCTAATTTTTAATAGCATCCTTTAAAGTCAAAAAGTATTTTTGATGAAGTTCAATTTATCTATTTTCCTTTTGTTGCTTGAGCTTTTACTTTTGTATCTAAAAATTTGTTGAAGATTTTAGCCTATATTTTCTTCTCTCTTTTTTTTTTTTGTTACCATCTTAGTCATTTTAAAGTGTACAGTGCAGGGCCTTCCTGGTGGCACAAGGGTAGGATTGAGGGGTTAAGTCTCAGCACTGTGAAGCCATCTGCAGCCACTGCAGCACAAGGCAGATCCCTGGTCATGGAGCTGAACTGCATGGTGCAGCAGGCCTCTCCTGTCTCCACCACTGCTCCCCACAGGCATTTGATTTTGGCAAGCTGGAGAATCTTGCTAAAAACAAGGGTGCGCCCATGTTTATTGCTGCTTTATTTACAATTGGAAAGACATGGAAACAGCCCAAATGCCCAAAAATAGATGACTGGATTAAAAAGATGGAGTACATATACAAAACGAAATATTACTCAGCAACCAAAAAAAAGAAACACATGTCTTTTGCAGCAACATGGATGGAGCTAGAAAAGATCATGCTTAGTGAGATAAGCCAGAAAGAAGAGGAAAAATACCAGATGGTTTCACTCATAGCAGGAGTATAATGGACCAGGCGAGAAAATAATGATAATGATGAACAGCTATAGACCAGAGATATTTTATGGGAGTGGAGTGGGGAATGGGATCAAAAACGGTGGGGTGGGGGGAAGTGCACTGGACTATGGTGATGGCATGTGGGTGATATGGTGATGGGCAGCACACGGGGATTACAACTGAGATGGAAAAAGGCACAAAATGATGTAAAAATAAACTATTAAAAAAAGGGGGGGAGAGCAATGGAGACTTGGGGTCAAGAGAAATTCAACTTTAATGCAAACCTTATAATTGCTCACTAGGTATTGTGTCTTCCTTTCCCCACAGAATGGAGGCCCTGCGTAGGCCTGTGAGGTCAGCAGACTAGCCCTCACATACACATAGAAAGCTGGCACCCATGACATGGTCAGAGGGGAAGGTACAGCCTGACAACATGCCTTTACTCCTTTTTTAAAAATTTATATCTTCTTTACAGTAAAGTGCACAAACATTAAGAGATGAATGTCCATACTAGCAGGTGCTGCTAAGTGTCATGAGGATTCTTTCTATATCCTGAATTAGGCAATTTTGTCACTGCAAATATCTGAGTGTGGTTACACAGATCTAAGTGGGATCACCTACTCCTTCCTGAGCTGTTCAGAAGCCCACAGCAAGCATACTGATTGAAAAGCTAATATATGACTATATTCATTTAGCCCCACCCAAATAAATATATATAATATTACCTTCAGGGCTTCCCTGGTGGCGCAAGGGGTTATAGCACAGCACTATGAAGCTCTCTGCAGCCACTGCAGCAAGAGTTTGGTCCCCAACCAGAGATGTGACCCACATGGAGCAGCAGACCTCTCCTGTCTCTCCTGCTGCTCCCCTCAGCAGTATATTTCTGTCATTCTGCCTATTCCGCTCCCCAGTCTGTCTCTGGTGAGTCTTCTCACCCACCCCGCCTCCTCCCTGCACCTCTGGCCTATATTTGCATAAATAAATAAATCTTAAAAGAATATATAATGTACAGTTCAGTTGTGTTAAGTATCGTCAACATTGTTGTGTAGAAGACTTCTAGAAAACTGTAACTTTCAACACTGAAACTATACACATTAAACCTCTCTCTCTCTCTCCCTTCCCCCAAACATTTATGCTTTCTGTTTCTGTAATCTTGACTATTTCAGATACTTCATATAAGCGTAATCATACAATATATATCTTTTTATGTCTGCTTTCACTAAGCTTACTGTCCTCCTCAAGTTTCATTCAAGCTGTAGTGCGTGACAGTTTTCTTCCTTCTTAAAGCTGTTTTTTTAAGCTGCATAATATTCCATTATATAGGACATTTCTTTATCCATTCATCTCTAATGAACATTAAGAGAAAATTTCTTGCATTTCTTCACATTAGCAAATAATGGATGGGTTTGCAAACATCTCTTTGAGATCCTGCTTTTAATTCCTAGATATATATTCAGATTTGAGGTGCTGGTTTTACTTAGATTACTATAGTTTTAATTCTTTTAGGAACTGTCATTTTCATGAGGGATGCATCATTTTACATTCCCAACAAGGGGAAAGTGGCCATTATCAAAAAATTGGGTGGACCTATCTCATAAAGGTATTTATGTCTTTGATATAGGTGTAGACAACTAAAATAATATGTAACAATAATTTCTGTGCTTATAATGACATCATATTGATTACAACATATTGCCTTTTATTTCTGACTTCAAGGTAATAAAAATTGGCATGTTGATGTCCTTACATTTTTCAGTGGTTTATAATTTCACATTTTATGGCTGTATTAAAATTTATTTATCAATTCTCTTCCTGGGAACTTTAGTGAGTAAAGTTACAGGGTAATAGGTCCTACGTGAAAAGTTCTTTTCAGGGCTTTAAAAATTATTCCATCTAGTCTGTCTTTTTATTATTGCTGTTGAGAGTTATGCCATCATATTAATAACTGTTGTGGGCAATCTTTCCTTACTAATTGTTTTTAAGATTGTCCTTTGCATTCTATAGTTTTATGAGGTGTCATTTGCAGGCTAAAAAACTATTTTTACACTCCATGTAAAAATTTGCTTCATCTGGCCCTCCCTGGTGGCGCAGCGGGTTAAAGCACAGCAGTGAGAATCTGAAGCCGGTTCCGCATGAGTTCAATTCCTGCCTGCCCCGGAGGTGACCACATGGCGCGGCAGACCTCTCCTGACCCGCCCGCTGCTCCCCTCAGCAGTGTACTTCATCCATCTGCCTGTTCTGCTCCCCACTCTGTCTCTGGTGAAGCCTCTCGCCACCCCTGAATCTCTGGCCTGTACCCCAGTTCTGTATACACAAATAAATAATAAATCTTTAAAAAAAAATTTGCTTCATCAACTAATCATATGCATTTTTCACCAACTCTTAAATGAACATGAACACATTATGACCTTGTCAGTGTTGCTTCTGTTCACCCTCCTGGGTGCCTGGAGGCTCCCTGCACCTCCCTTCCAGCCTACCTCCCCTGCCCTGCCCTGCAGAGGCCACGCAGTGAGCCCTGGGCTGGCCCTTTGCCCACCTGCCTGCTGTCCCCACAGCGTCCCCTGACAGCACCCCTCCTCCAGCCTGTCCCCAGACTGCGGACACCCCTGAGCTGGCCCTGGAGCGTCCCAGCACACCCTTCCCTGTTCTCTAGCCTCTCAGCCACCACAGCTTGTCCACGAGGTGCCACGTGCCCCACACTCCACACAGCTCTCCCTCCTCTCCCCAGAGTGCCCCTTCCCCGAGAGGGGTACCCAGAAACCACTGTGAGGAGAGGTGGCCCCCACAGTGGCTCGCACTGTGGGACATGGTGGACCCACAGCCCTGGGGGTTTGCTTGCTGGTTCTCTGACTTCAGCTCAGTTTCCTCACTGAGGAGATGGCGCTGAAAACAGTCCCCTGGAAGACAAGGTTGCTGTGGGACCCTGAGCGTGTGGTGCATTTAGTGGGCACTTGGCACGTGTTGGCTTCTTCCCCTGGCCAGCTTTGGCTGCCACTATCTGAGTTGGACTTAGCAGCGGCCATCTCAGAACCATCCGCTCACACAGGGGGGAACCGCCTCCTTCCTCCCCCTCCTCTCTCTGACAGTAGTGCAAAATGCAGCTCACTTGTCATGGGGCAAGTGATTAATTTTTTGTCTTTTCAGGTTTATTTGTACTTGAAGCTAATGGGCAGAAAAGCCATGGAGAAAGGACCACGGAAAGGTGATGCAGCTGGGCAGAGGGGAGGTGAGAAGGTCCAGTGGGGACATTAGGGCCTGAGGCAGGCAGAGTGCAGGGGCAGAACACTGTGCATCACCACAGGGCCCTGGACACCAACAGCGGTGGGAGCCAGAGCTGTGGGGGCCTGAGGGCAGTCCGGGGACTGGATGGGCTGGCGGCCTGCCGAGGCTCATAGGATACAGAAGCAGCTGAGGAGTCGGGAAGAGGAGTGCGCCTCTGGATCTCCTCGATCCAGTCAGTGAAGTAGGCAACCCTGGTGAAGACGCTGGGGTAGATGGGAGGCTGGCAGTTCAAGCCCCAGCTGGCCAGCCCCACCAGAACCCAGGCTCTGGGGAGGTTGCAGACCAGGGGTCCTCCAGAATCACCCTAGGAGAGACAGGAGAATAGTGTGGGTCACTGAAGCAGGTCTGAGAACACTAAGTGGCTGGGTGGGGCTGGCCAGTCCCTGCTCAGTGACCCTCTGTGAGTGTCCAGACATTGGCTTCAGCTGCAGCCCTACCAGTCTCATCAGTGGGCAGTTTCATGCTTCATGAAGATCAGAGTTGATCCTCAGGAAAATCCTAAGTCTGAGTCTATCAACAGACTCAGCCCTGTCCTTCAGCCCAGGGAGGAGCCACTGGCCTCGGAGAACTCAGTGCTCAAGGCCAGCAGGGGAAGATAGGACTCGAGAGGCTCGGCCTCTGAGAGGCGGCGGCCAGCTGAAGCGGCTGCACACCCAGCTACTGCAGAGACCCGAGATGACACACATTCCCAACAGGGTCCCTTCCGTTCTCATTCATCTAGGCCTCTGTTTTGCTCCCAGCTGCTTGGTGTACTTCTTCCAAAAATGCCCACATCCAGCCCTTGTGGAGATAGCCCTCATTGCTAAGGGAGTAAGTGGGACCCCCAGAAAGATGCTGGTTGCTGCTAGAATCCTGAAATGCTACTAGGACATTCACTCCTTCACCTCACTGGCCAAAGGAAGGGTGTCCCCCTGGGAAACGGGAGACAAGACCATTGCTGTTTTCGTTCCTCCACCCACCCCTCCAAGTACACACCAAGCATCCTAGAGCCAGCTTTGGCTTTCGGAAACAAGGGGTGAGAACACAAGTTCCATCCCTCATGGTGCATCTAAACAAGACAAGAAGCCCATCTCAGAGGCGGCACATGCAGGTAAGTCATGGGAGTCAGGGAAGGATCAGTTCCCCATCATGGGCAGCCAAAGGTTCTCCTGAGCTGGGACTCAAATCAGGACACAATCTGACCTTGCGATGTGGTAGCAGAGGAAGTGCTGAGAGCAGACAAGGCGAGGAGGAATGTGCTGGAGGTGGAGGAAGAGCACAGTCTGGTGGAGAGTGAGGAGGCACAGGCAGACCCCCGCCAGCCCCAGGGAGACGTGTGGGAAGAGGAGGCAGTAGGGTGAGGTCAGAAAAGGAGATGCGATAATGGCTGCCAAGGTGGCGTGATACACTCTGATGGCAGAAGAAGGGGCCAGCAACCAAGAAAGCAGCAGTGTCTGGGAGCTGGACAGGCAGACGTTCCCCTCTAGGGCCTCCCGGAGGAACCAGCCCTGCACACACTTTGAGTTTAGACTTCTGACCTCCAGAAAGGTAAGATACGCATTTCTGTCATTTGGCCACTCAGTACGACGTGATTTGTCATGTCTGGCCTAGGGAGCTCATTGCTGGGGCCTTCTTGGAAAGTGGAAATGTATCAGGGCAGCACTTCCTAGGGGGATGTACTTGGTTTCCCCAATCTGCACCTGCCCTAGCTCCGCCAGTCTGGGGGAGGCCCGGGCCTTGTCTGGGACAGTGGCTCTTGGCCACTCCAGGCCTCAGCAGTTCACACAGATGAACCATATTATCATTGTAATCACCACGGGTAGTCAGCTCATCTAGGGGGAGACAGGAAGGCCTCTAACAAGCCCCTCGTTGGGAAGCTCTGAGAAGGCAGCTGAAACTCCAACAACTAACATACCTCATGACTGTGAGCTGCAGTTTGCACTAATGTAGAAAGAACAAATTGTGTGTGTGTGTGTGTGTGTGTGTGTGTGTGGAGGGGGTGGGAAGGGCAGTGAGTTCCACCCCGGGTGAGAGGACAAGTCTAAGACAGGCCCAGATTAGATAGCAGAAGCCAACACGCACCAAGGCTACTAAATGCACCACACGCTCAGGGTCCCACAGCAACCTTGTCTTCCAGGGGACTGTTTTCAGCGCCATCTCCTCAGTGAGGAAACTGAGCTGAAGTCAGAGAACCAGCAAGCAAACCCCCAGGGCTGTGGGTCCACCATGTCCCACAGTGCGAGCCACTGTGGGGGCCACCTCTCCTCACAGTGGTTTCTGGGTGCCCCTCTCGGGGAAGGGGCACTCTGGGGAGAGGAGGGAGCGCTGTGTGGAGTGTGGGGCACGTGGCACCTCGTGGACAAGCTGTGGTGGCTGAGAGGCTAGAGAACAGGGAAGGGTGTGCTGGGACGCTCCAGGGCCAGCTCAGGGGTGTCCGCAGTCTGGGGACAGGCTGGAGGAGGGGTGCTGTCAGGGGACGCTGTGGGGACAGCAGGCAGGTGGGCAAAGGGCCAGCCCAGGGCTCACCGCGTGGCCTCTGCAGGGCAGGGCAGGGGAGGTAGGCTGGTGCAGGGACATCGTGTGGGGACTCGGGAGCTGAGCCTTTTGTTCTATCTGGGAACAGCTGACTGTGGGCGGATGGGTCTGGGAGTAGTCAGTGGCCCACACCACTGACTACTGATGGGGACTGAGAAACCTGGGTCTCCTTCCTACAAAGCAGGGGCCAGCTTCCATCCTCAGGCCAGCCACCCTCAGGCCATCCACTCTCCAGGCAGGAATGAACCACCATGAACCGTCCCATGGGCCAAACGCATCACATCTTCCTGTGTGTGTTTCATGCCACAACATGTTTCCACAAATTGGGGTTTAGAAAAACAACAGAAATGGATTCCCTTTTGGTCTAGAGGCCAGAAGTCTGAAAGCAAGTACCTCTATGTCTTTTCCTCTGACAAGAACAGCAGTTGTTGGGTTTAGGACCCACTATAAACCCAGCTGACTCTCATCTTGAATCCTTCACCAAGTACATGTGCAAGGACCCTACTTCACATTCTGTAGTTCTAAATGGACATGAATTCAGGGAACATAATTCAACCTACACTACCTGTCTTTCAGTAACCCCATGAAGGAGGTCTCAGAAGCCCACACTACGAATGAGGAGGTGATGAGACCACACAGTAGAGCAGTGTCTGTTGGAGCCCTGGGGTGGAGCCCCGGGACCATGCAGCATGATGAGACAGGGAGTCCAGGGGTCACCACAGGACAGTACACACAATATGGCCACTCCCAGGGAAACTGAGGCCCCAAGAACAGGTCAGGAAAGAACAGAAATGGCCTCGCTTACTTGGCAGATGGCTTTCCCTGTCGAGAAGTCCCCAGCACACAGCATTTCATCATGGATCATGTAGCTATTGCCTTTGTTAACATCTTGTCCATAGAGGATATTACACCACTTATTCTCAATGAGGTTCACCTTACCCTCCTGGAGGTGGAAGGGCAGGGACATCGGTGCTGTGGGGATAAGGAGGTCAGTGACAGCACAGGCTGGCCAGGAGCCGCGACCCCTGCACCTCACTCTGCCCCACGCTCCCCGCTGTCCCCAGCATAGGCGTTTGGCAGCACAGCAGAGCTTTCAGCACTGCTTCGGTCTTCTGCCCCACCCCACCCCCTATGAGTACCCTCCTTTCCTTCAAACTTCCCCATGCTCACCCTATTCCTTCCACCCCACCATAATAATAGAGGACACCTCTCCTACTCTACAAAGATAAAAAGCAACCCCCACCATACACACAGCTCACCGGGGCTCACCCCCATGCTTGTGTAGCTTGTGTAGACTGTCCTACCCACTCTCCATCTGTGTACCACTGGCCTGTACCCTGTTCTGTCTACCCCTTCCTCCATCCACCCACCTCTGCCCCCTAATGAGCCACCCACGTGTGCTTCCATCCGTTGCCCACCCACCCACCCACCTTTTATCCATGTCTCCACCCACCCCCGAATCTTCCATCTACCTGTCCTCCTCCCCACCGATCCATATATCCATCCACCTACAGACCTGCCCACCTCCCTGTCCCCCACTTTCCCTTCCACCTACCCATTCAGCCTCTAGCTGCCTGCCCCACCCTTGTTCTCAGCCAATCACTCATCCATCCTCTGCTAGACTCTTTTAGACACTAATGATAAACAGCAAATATTTTTAGTTGGAGGAGACAAGTAAAATAAAGAAATATAATTATTTTAGATCTATGAGTGGTTTGAAAGAAATAAATCCAGGACATGTGGTAGCAGGGGGTGCCTATTTTCGCTCATATGATCAAATCAAACTCCTCAGAGAATGAGTAAGTTATAAAGGTAAAGAAGAAATGAGCCATGCGGAGATTAGGTGGTGAGAAACTCAAGACTCCAGCAACAAAGGCCTGGAGGTGAGGCTGCCTTGGCAGGTTCCGGGTAGGAAGGGGGTCTGTGGCTGAGAAGGTGAGGGGGTGGGGTGGGCAGACGCAGCAGGCGCTGAGGGACCGAGCTAATGCCCTCAGGCCTGGGGGCTGAGAGCAGACAGAGCTGAGGGAGCTCCCTGGGTAGTGTGAACTTCTTTCTAAGAACAGATGAGGAGGCTCTGAGCAGGGAAATGGTGTCCCGAGGTGCAGACGCACAGCTGTGTGGTGGCTGACTCAGCCCAGCGGGTGGCCGCTTCAGCGGCTAGAGGCGTAGGGTGATGGTGTGCCCAAGGGGGGGGGGGGGGGGGGGACTGCAGGACCGGCTGTGGTATTAGCACTGATAAGTTGAGTTTGTCCTCAAGCAAGAACAGTTCGTGCCCATGTCGGCATGCACGTGGCTTGTGTTTGTGCCACGGCTGGCTGTAATAGTTAGGGAAAGTTCCTGACACCCGGTAGGCAGGGCCAGCACGGCTGGCACACTCTCCCCAACGAAACAAAAATGCCCAAAATGCCTTGTGGCGCCTCTGTTGAGAAACCGTACCAGATTATACCCTACAAATAACGGCAAAGTATGTTTCTTTTTCCTTCACATCACATCAAAAGCACTTCTCCAAACTAAAAACACTCATTTCTCTAAGAAACTCTTTCAAAGTCTTTGCAATATTTCTTCTCTTACAACCTCAAAAAGCACACACTTTGTCCCTCTTTTTCCAACAGACAGGAGACCTGAGTTAGGAGAACAAATCTAGGTCACAGAGCGAAGAGGCTCTCAAGTCTTAATCATTCTAACTGGCTCCTGTGGCTCAGAGGGCAGAGCCATGAAGTCCTTTCTTCTCACTTTGCCCAGGTACTTCCTTGGCAATGGGAAATCAGGGGGGTTTGGCAGTGGCATGGGGAAGGCCAGGTCCAAGCATGGCTGTTTAATTAAACTGAGTTAGCTCAGATTCCTGGCTGTTTAAAACCTTGGAATCAAGAACCAAGCAGCCTCTAAGTACTTAGATTCTTGATCCCCAAAGTCGGGGGTTCCCAGATTCCCAGAACCTTGGACATAAGGACCTCTGAAGCATGAGAATCACGTACTTCACACACTTTGACCTAGAAGGGTCCAGGTCTCTGGAAGTGAGACTCAGAGTGCCAAGACCCAGGGACCTCCCAGTTCCCTCCCGGTTCCTCCCTCGTCTTTCTCCTTGACCAACTTCACCCGCCAGCCCCTCCCACAGTCACTCACTGTCCTCGGTGAGCATCCCCCAGCCAGTGATCCAACAGGACACGTTACTGGGCAGCAGCACACCAGGGGCTGGGAGGCAGGCAGGGACCACATAGGAAGTGAAGCTCACGGGCAGATACAGTTGTAACATGGCTATGTCACTCCCAAAAGCATGATACTTCTCAAAGTCTGGGTGGATGATAATGCCACTCACGGCCATCTTCTGGGTGTGCTTGGTGGGCTCGAAGAGCCGCGTGCTTCCCAGAACCACCCGGTAGTCCTTCAGTGCCTGGGACTTGCTGGAGGAAGAAGGGTGGCTGTGTGAGGCCTACGCTCCCCCCACATCCTCACCTGATGGCCCACACTGCTCTGGAGCCCTCCGCCCCCACAAGATAGCCCCTTTCTAACCCTTCTTTCCCGAGGCTGAGTGCTGTTCTACTCAGGTCAGCACATCTGGCTTCCCCATAACACTGCAGAGTTGAGGGAGGCGGGCCGAAGGGCCAAAGGGGCCCATGCACCCTGACTCTCAGACTGCACCCAGGAGCACTGCTCCACCCAGCTGGAACCCGCCCTTCCCGAGGCTCCCCACAGCCACCCTCTGGCCCAAACACCTTTCCCACCCCCCTTCATGCCACGCCTTCCTATCACAACAGCTTACCCTGCTGGCTCTAAACACCCACATAGGATGTGGTAAATGAACAAATGGATGCTGGTTGTCCTGTGACCTACACATGAGGGATGGAGCTTCCCACATTTCTGGCTTTGTACTCATGGCTCGTCCACCTGTAAAGCCCCCCCTGTGCTCCCCAGGTACAAGCCTGCCCTCCTGCAAGCCCCTGATGCTGTGCCACACCAACTAGTGCACAGACCCTCTGCCGCCCCGCCCAAGGTTCGTCCTTCTCTCTCCCTGTGGGCTTTCTCTCCTGAAGGGACCGTGGCTCAGTAAGCTGGGGCGTTGCCACCCCTGAATCCACAGGTGGGTAGGTGGGGTGCGGCACAGAATCCCTGGAGGGGCTCTGACTCTCAGTCGGTCTGCACCCATGCTCCAGTTCCCTGACCTGGCTGGGATGCCCTTGTTTCCTCAGGATCTCTCCTTGTCTGTTCAGGAACTCGGAACTGGACCTGGCCCAGGAGCACCAGAGAAGTTAGACTCTCCCAGGTCAGGCAGACTCACACCCCCTCCATGGAGCATGGCACTGAGGTACCAGGTCCTCCCTGGGGTATAGTTCAGCAGTTGCTAGCTGGAGGTGCATTTCTAGGCCCCTGTCCAGAGTCTGATACCCAGCAGCACAGGAACATTGAGGCTTTGGTCTGAGGTAGGAGCAAAGAGCCGGTCTACATCGCGTAGTGGCCAAGATGGACACTGTCAATCTCCTGGGTTTGTGTTAGGGCGCAAGCACAGGAATGAGGGTGGAGGATGAGGGGGATCTGAGCACATGAGCAGGGAGGACAGTCCAGGTGGAGGGGACTCAAGTCCAAGGCAGGATGACAGGCACTTGGAACTGCCCCGGAGCAAAGCCTCCAGGAGTGGCGTGGGCTCCCCTTTCCCCTAGTTTTCCTTTCTCCTGCTCCCTTGTTCCCTGCCAGCCCCTGTGCTGGGGACTCGGGGAGAACTCACTTGACAAAGCAGTGAGCTGTGGAAAGCAGCCACTGGGCCCCGATGAGGACTGCTCCGCAGAGATGCGAGCCCTGGTACAGCACGCTGGCCTGCCACGGCCACTGGCCAGCCGCCACGTCCTGGCCTCCGTAGATCTTCCCCGTCACCCTGGGCTTCCCACACACTTCGGCGACAGGCCTGGCTCTGCCTGCGGTAGACACCAGTGGTACCCTAAATGCCATTTCCAGGAAGGCCCTCCACTTCACAAACAGGAGCGCCAAGGCTCAATGACCTCAACAAATGACAAGGTTGCTAGGACTCTGCGTTCTCTGGCTGCCGCTGGAGACCGACAGCAGAGCCCACAAAAGGCCCTGCGGGGACAGGCCCAGGGGTCTGGTGCTGCAGCCACTTCAACGGCTGCTTTAGGGGACTCCACGCCTGGGGTCCTGCCGAAAACAGGGCCCTCACAGACACAGACCTGACCCCAGCCACCCACACCTCTTGTCCCACTCTGCAGGCCTCAGAGGGTACCTCATTTGTGCTCAAGGTCAGGGCTTCTAGGCACCTGTGTCCTTCACCGCACCCCAGTATCTGAGGGAGGCAGGCTGTGGTGCCGTGTGACCTGGGTAGAGTCACTCCCCACCGCTGACTCTGGGGACCCCATTTCTGAAAGAGGAGGGGTGGCTAACAAGACAGCCTGGCTGTGGGACTCACACCTGGGAGACCAGACCACCAGACAGGGCGCATCCTGGTGTCTGGTCTGTGCTTCCCAGCTCAGGAAGGGGAACGTGACCTCTGGGTGCCACGCAGCGCCCTCAGGCAGCCCACTCTCCCCCGCCTAGCCCCACAGCCAGTCCTGGCCAGTGCCCCCCACCCACACGTCTCCCGAGAGTGGAGGCCTGAGACTCACCTGTGCTGAAGTGGTCTCTGTCTGCCCGGTTGGGAAAGGAGGGTAGAAAGAAAATGGGAGTCAGTGGCCGGACCTCACTTAACAGCCCCTCCCATCCCAGGCTCCCGCTGCGCTCGGCTCCACCTCGGTCTTGTGGCTCCTGGACCAACTGCTTAGCACCCGCCCAGGCCACAGTTGGCAATACCGTGGTTCCACCTTCCACGCCTACAGCGGCCGGCAGAGTCTCTACACTCAGGGGCCCAAGTAACAGCGGCAGCAGCAGCAGCCAGAGCAAGAACCCCATTTCGCCGAGGCCGCAGTCTCCGCAGGTCTGCGACCTAGTGCCCATTGTCAGGGTCGCTGAAACCAGCCCGGCCCCACCCAGCCTTGACCCCATCCTGAGCCGGGCCCCGCCCCTGACTCCTCCCCTGCCACGACCCCCACAGCAGACCCTCAGACCACGCCCAGACCGCCAGTGCCTAGCTTGCCTTACCTAGTCTCTGACCCCAGTCGGCTTCACACACCAACCCCACCTTGACCCCACCGTGACCTGCACACCTCTCTCTGCTCCCCGCCAGGCTCTGTCTGAGCCCATATAGACGGCAAAGCTTAAGTCGTAGCTGAAACAAAAGTTAAAAGATTGGAGACCATGGGCCCTCCCTGGTGGCGCAGCGGGCTAAAGCACTGCACCAAGAAGCTTAAGCTACTTCCGCATGAGTTCGATTCCGCCTGCCCCGGAAGTGACCACATGGCGTGGCAGACCTCTCCTGACCCGCCCGCTGCTCCCCTCAGCAGTGTACTTCGTAGATCTGCCTGTTCTGCTCCCCACTCTGTCTCTGGTGAATCCTCTCACCCTCCGCATCTCTGGCCTGTACCCCAGCTCTCTATGAATAAATAAATATTTAAAAAAAAAAAAAAAAGATTGGAGGCCTTACATATTGTTTTGCAAAGTTGAGAAAATACGAGCTACGGATTAAGGTCCGAGCACTTATAACAAGAATCTGATTAAGAGGCTGACAGGTAAAACCCCTGGCAAAAAAGAGCAGTTTAATAAGATTTCTGATCATAGAAAAATATATCCTGCAGCTCCTAGGAAAGCTTGCACTTTTCCTCTGTCCTTGAAGTTGCAGGACTTATCAGTCTTCAGGATATACCCAACCAGGAGACAACTAAGAGGCTACATGAGAAATTGGAGGAAGAGAGGGAGAAGTTAAGACTGAGTCTGCCAAAGTACATAAACTACTAGAGATTCTCCCTTGACTTGTAAGCTTTCATTAGAAATTAAAGATTCTAAAGAATGAAAGCAAATGAATGTAGACAGAAAGTAGTCAAGGAGATACCAGAGAATATCTCTGGATAAGATAGGATAAAGAATGTGGATTTTTTCTTGGAAAGGAAAAAGACAACAGTCATCATGTTTCAAAGTGAATCAACTACACGGTAAAAAATTAAATGAATGTAGCAAGTCATAAATATCTGTGAAAGTGGTAGCAGCTTATGAGGAAGGAAACTTAAGAAGGGAAATTTATATATGTTAAACTAAGTAAGGTCAAATGAATTGTTAGAAGGATTTATAATTAAACTTTGATATCAATGCTATACTCATGTAAAAACGATTAGTTTTTCATCTGTATAAAAGGTATTCATGAATTCTGCTCTGCTTTCGATAATACTGTGAGTTGTTTAAGTACCCTAACTGAAAGCAAGGATGTGTGTGCAATTTAACCTCATTTCATGTCATTTTTATCAGATCCTTAAATACTTAAGCTAACCAATCTTCTTGTCCTGGAAATACCTAGGTTTTGTTTGTAGTCATGCAGATTTTATATTTACTTTTGAAATATTAGTCACATTGACTAAATGAAAAATTAAGTATTATTTATGCTTACCTATCTAAGCATTTAAAATAGTTTGAGATCTGTGACAAACTTCCCAAAATTAAGTTAATAATGATATTATTATCTTTTTGACTTAAAACCAATTCTAAGGTTTTTCCCTGTAATGATCTGCAGAGAATTGTTCTCTTTACTTCTGAAAAGATAAATATTAAAAAATGGGCTTATTTGATATGTTAAATTAAATAGAAAACATTATCAGATGAAAAGTTAATACGAAGCCTTCTAGATGTTGTATTTGACTAGGAATTAGTATGTGTTATGGAAAACCTATGAAATTCCCAAATTTAAATGTCTTGGTATAATGCTTTTAATGACATTTTATTTGAAATATTGTTTTAAATTAATTTATTTTATTTACTCTGAGAAAACAAAGAGCTAACAACATGCAAGAGAAAGAAGTCATAATGGTGTTAAATGTAACTCTGTAGAGGGAAATACTCTTTAGATCTGCAGGAAAATGTCAATCCTTTTCAGGAATCTAAGTATATGTGATAAGTTTACATACATACATACATGCATGCATGCATGCATACCTTTAATGATGTAGATACATATGCATTTTTAAAAGTTAAAGATGAAGAAAATTAGTGAAATGAAGACTTACAGAAGTGAGATTTGTGTTTTAAGTAATGTGCTTGAGATCCTTAATTTACGTCTAAAATTAGCTTTAACATATGAATATTATTCATGTGGAATGGTTTACTATTTGAATTATAAAAGTTTACAATAGGCCCTCCCTGGTGGTACAGTGGGTTAAAGCACTGTACTGGGAGGCTAAAAGCCACTTCTGCATGAGTTCAATCCCTGCCTGCCCCAGAGGTGGCCACATGGCACGGCAGACTGACCCACCTGCTGCTCCCCTCAGCAGTGTGCTTCATTGATCTGCCTGTTCTGCTCCCAGCTCTGTCTCTGGTGGATCCTCTCACCTTCCACATCTCTGGCCTGTTCCCCAGTTTTGTATGAATAAGTGAATAAATCTTTAAAAAAAAAAGTTTACAATAATTGTGTTGGCATAATTCCAGTTAGGAAAGACCAGGACAACAGTAAAACTAGATCTTTGTATTTTAAAAAAATACCCCTTGCTTCCTTTTGAAATAACCAATAGAAGGTCTAGGCATTAAACTGAAGACTAGAAACTAGTCTTCTCAAAGGTAGTATCACCTCTTACTACCAGGACTCTATTAAGACTCTCAATAACAATACCAAACTGGTAAGAAACTCCACCCGTCATATGCTCCCAAAAGATGGAGACTCAAACATCATGAGCACCAAACCAGAAAACTCTGTTTTGAAAACAACACTATGCCAGGGGCTCCCTCCAACCTCACTAGAAAGAACCAGACCAGGCACTCACAATCTGTACACATTTGGTGTTTTAAAAAGCAGCGTGGCCATTGTTTCTTAGCAGGATCTATTTTACTGTAAATCCAGATCTGTATCAACCTCTATTCACCAGGAGCCCAGCCATGGCTGGGAGGACAGGGGACAGAAGTGGGCTCCTGAAGCCAGTCCCCTGGGCACAGATGACGGATCTTATTCAGTTGCTGACCAAAGATCCCACTCAGGGACTTGGTGCTCTCAAGCCACACCACCTCCTCTGCCCGTGACTCCTTCTGAGCTCACGGTCCTGTCCTGCCCTCACTCAGATAAAGAGGTAGCTGCACGCTCTCTGTCCCATTGCAATATTCTACAGAGACCAGACATGCTTCTCCTGCAACTATGCCAACAGGCAGCCAAATATATATAAAAGCCCTCAGCTCAGCTTTTCATGCAGGGTCACTCCATCCATATGGCAAGGAGGAAGAGACAACCCCACTGCCTGGTCACGAAGACCAGTGGCTGGTGGTGTAAGGAAACCACAGGCCAGCAGGGCTGTCTCACGGTCTGTTCTACAAAGTGGTGACTGGTCCAGAAGTATAAATCCAAATTCAACTTTAATCCCAACTATTTTGGGGCAGAGAAGATGATGAGATGTCCAGAGGCCTCCAAAGAAGTGGGCCATGTGGTGGAGACTGGCAGGGGTTGCCGGGGAATCTGTACTGAGCTTGTGACGTGGAGAGGTATCTGATCGGTTACCCAGGGAACCCATCTATTTGTTCATCTC